TAGACTTTCATTGAGCACATCGTGTCTAGTTATTTCACTCCCAAACGTTTTGAATTTTCTAGGACACAGACACATTTTGGAGTCAGTTGATGGTCCATATGACCTACGGGAACTTCCATAGGCTCATCTACTAAATGATTGGAAGGAAGTCCTAATGTTGCAACATAGAAACCACAAACATTTTCAGGCCATCACTCTAGAGTTCATCCTTATAGTGATGATAACGGGCGTCTACATGACCCCGATGGGCTACATTTTTCTATGTTGATCCTCGTTATCATGTCATGAAGACCATGGTGACATTTACTATAGATCATTCACGATGGCTGGTCAGAAGTCCCATAAAAGCTTCAACGCTTCTATTATTATATATACAGGCCACACATCAGTATTTTCTCATTGATGTTGTGTTAACGGAACACCACAGGGTCTCTGGTCTTTACTGTTTCTTTGGATTCTAATTTTTTCCATGTTACCCAGAATAAAAAATGAATACATGCATGACATCTCGATTCATCGGATCATCACAAGGGGGAGAGTGGTCCACATGCTTATAAACTTTTAAAAATCATTCTCAGATACTTCTTTCCTTCAACACAAAAATTGACAGCTTTCTACTCTCTCCAGTTCATCAAAACTACCAAATCAGATTCAAGTCAAATGGTCAACATATGCTCACAAGTCAATCATCATTTTCCGTTGTGCCATCGACAAGTTCTCCTAAACAACATTCACATCAAATAGTCGAAAAGGCTACATTCTGGAGGAGATAGAGGTGGGATACTCAAGTACTGAAGATGAGTCTCGTGTGCGCGTCAAATTCTTCAGAACATTCATTAGAGAGGCGCCATTAGACTTCATTCAAGCCGATCAAGAACAACTTCTGAAAGGCAAGGATTACAAGCAAAATATTGAAGATCCCTCAACTCCCCGGCATCAAAGAACAAATTGCCAAGAAGACACTAAAAGGGAGATTGTAAAAATTTCTTCAGAAAGCCTTTCGAAAAGAAGAAGAAGTTGAATTGCACTGAAGATCAAGAGAAAAGAGGAGTAACTCGACCAATCTCATCTACCCTCTCCTCTACATTGCTTGATCAACACAAAGACAAAAATACCAACACTCAAATGCTAGTTCAACACGATTGAACACAAAGGGAGAGATTGTTGAGACATTTTGCTTGTATCCAATCTATTAATGTGGGTTGCACCAGCTATTTTCATACATTGCATTGGAGTTCTATATCATTTTGGTATTGAATCTAAGCTTTCTTCCTCTCCTCTCTACTATGATATGTGATTGTTGGATAACTGGGTTCCTATATCTTTTAAATGAGATTTATCTTCTAAAAAGTGTTCTAAGTAGAGACACATTCTCCTCCTCCTCCTACTCTCACGTTTCAAAGAATAATTTTAATGAAAGTTCAAGTTCAAGCGATCAATCATTTAGCTCTATCACATACCTTTCTTCTGTCTTCTTCTAATGACCCTTGATATGTGTTTTCTCATCCGAATACTGAAGTTAACAAACCTAAGAAACATAATCTAAAAGCTAAAGCTTTTAAACCTCATTGTGGTATGAATGATAGCAAATCTAAGCAGAAATGATTACTAATGAAATTATTATTTTCCAAAACAAAATCTAGACCAGACCAAATTAGATTAATATAGATCATACAAGATCCGATCAAATTTAAACAAACCATGACTTTTTTAGATAGTAGTAAAATAAACATACATGTGATGTCTACAAGACCAAACAAGGATTAAAGTAACCACACTGTGCTAGACAAAAATTTCAGTACCATTAGAAATATCATAATTGACAACCATCTTGCTAGCAAAAAATATGATACTGCATGTATATGGAGAAGGGATGTTTTTACTTGACCTTATTTCAATTCTAGACTAGATCATATTTCTGCAGTTATAAAATACACAACGACCAGCTATCTTCAAGACCGGACCAGAAAATTTCAAGTAAAAACATCCTTAAACTTCTGAAGGGTGAATATCACGCATTTTAAGCAGGGGTGGAACCAGGCCGGGGCGAGCCGGTGCCGGCGCCACCCCTTTGCTGGAAATTTTAAGCTATAAATTTCATGCCGCCCCTAGTCTTCTTCAACTATGCCCGTCGTTTTCCATGGCTACTACAGTGTTGCAGCTCTATTCCAACTTCGTTCAGCGGCTTATGTTTTTGTTTCTTTTTAACTTCACAAAACGGCGCCATCAGGTCAATTGATACAAACCGAAGCGAAGCGACGTCGTAGAATATGCTTATCAGCTTTTTACTAGAACCAAACGATCGAGTAATTTGTGTTGTAAAAAGCAATTTAGTAATACGTGTACAGCCGGCGGCAAACTTGTAATTTTGGCGAAAATCCCGGATTCTCTTAAATGGGCATTGAATCAATTTTGATGAGCATCAAGTATGTTTTTTAGTATTAGGAGCCTAACGGTGAGCATTAGTGATATCTGCTTCATTCCTCATATATCACATTCTGTTTATTATTTCTTCGTTTATTAAAGTCTAAAATTATGTCTATAATCAAGTTCATTTAATTTCAATATGTGAACCTAATGTATTATGATATGTTTAACATGTGCAACCATTTAAAATGAGCATAAAACAGTACCAAATGAGCATACATAACTTACAAAATGAGTATCAAAATATTAAAAAACTCATTTGTGTGTGCTCATCCATTTTGGGTGTTATACTCATTTATGTTTAACATAAAACTCATTCTGAAATACGCATGACTATGACATTTTAAAATGAGTATTGTACATATATCAAATGAGCATACATAAATTACGAAATGAGCACTCAAAAAACTCATTTGAAATGTCTACTATGCTCATAATTTCATTTGTGTTTGTTCATTCTTTTTAAGCTGATACTCATTTGAGTTTAATATAAACTCATTCCAGATTCGTCGGCCAGAAGTATGAACTCAGACTCCTAAATCATATTTCAATTTGCCTTCCCCTTATTCTTCTACCTTCTCGCAGCACGAGCTAACAAAGAAATCCCCAAGAGCAGCCCTCTCTTGTGCAGCAGGAGAATTTGAGGAGAAGAGAGCGGTGAGAGGGGTGGTCTACCTGGTGCGCGAGATTAGAGAGAAGAAGTCACCAAAATTGAAGAAGCAGGGCGAAGGCGCAGACGCAGGGACAGAAGCGCAGACGCAGGAACGAAGATCGGAGAAGCCGTTGCTAGGGCGAGAAGAGCGCAGAAGCTTAAAAAGGCCGGCTGTACCGTGCGCACGGTACAACCGGCTGTACGGTGTATTTATGCGTATAAATGTATAATTTTAAAAACCAATTAAAACTTTTTGAGGTTCAAGCCAACTACAGTAGGGTTGTATAATTTTTAATTTGTACTAATTTGTTGTCTAGTTTACTCAATTATTTCTAAAATTCCTTGTTGTAGTTCTTCTATTTTCTTGTTTCAAATTTTTAGTTTTTTTTTTAATAATATTTAACTTGTTTACCCCTTTAAATTTTTTTAGTAGTTTAAATAATTTCAGAACATAGAATTGGCTAATATGTGAATTGTTAGGATATGTTTCAGATTTAAATGCGAATGTGATTCATCTTCTAATAATTTATGGTTTTATAATTTTAAAATTTGTTAGGTTACCTCTATCTCTATCACAATTTGTAATATGAGTGGTGAATATTACAAACGAGCTAACGAAAAAGTAATAGGGAAAAACATTTTTGTGTGGAATTAAATCTAAATGATATTGTTATTGATCTAGAGTTGCATAAATCTATTATTGCCTTTCATCCTTTCTTTAGAAATCAAGTACAAGAGATTGAGTACATAATTAGAGATCTTTGTAGACCGCTTTGTCATTTTTATCCTAAAAGTCATATACTCCTTCCGTATCATTTTATCTGTCCCACTTTCAATTTCTGGACGTATCAAATTAATTGTCTCATTTACATTTTTGAAAAGAGACTCACCTTAAAAGCAGCTATAGTACCACTACAGCATCAAAAACCTCTTACTTTTTTTTATAAAGTGTATAATAATTATTTTGAATTATGTGCAAAGCAAATGAGACATATAATGTGATACGGAGGGAGTAATAAAAATAATACTACATAAATGCTTTAGATCTTCTTGCTTTTGACATATTTTTCAGCCCCCCCTCAAAAATTGTTTTGCTTCCACCTCTGATTTTAAGTAAAAGTTTTTTTCCTTTGACTTAGTGAGATGATCTTTTTGTTGAGAGATGAATTTTACTGTGTGGTACACTATTTTGACAATGTTTGATATATTTAATTAAAGGCAGTAAAATGCACTAATAGAAATTTGTTTATTGAATAAGTATGGTGAACTTATTTAGAGACATCTATAAAAAGAAAATATGAAGTTTTTTTAAAGGACCGAGATGGTATACAATAAAAAAGCTAAACCCTATAGTAATCATGTAATTTGAAAATGTTACTCGTGCAATTATTGTCAATCTTAAATGTATGTGTAGAACTGTTCTTTCTTAATATACAATGTATGTTTTTAGAAATCTCAAACAACACTCATTATTAAAAATAGAGAGCACAGTAGATTGATTTATTTTGGCGATTACCAAAGATAGATTACTTCCTTCTCTTGAATTGCATCAAAAAAAGAAAGACCAGAAGAAAAGAGATTGCGGGAATTTGGAAATCAAGAGTAAAATACCAATTCACCCTCGCCTCGGAGGCTATTTTAAGGCAAACCCCCATCAATGGCAATTTAAAAAAGGTAGACGGGTCATGCAAAATTACGGCAACGCCCCTGGTACGCAGTCTGTTTTAGGCAAATGCATTAATGCCAAATGTTTGAGGAAATACCAAAGAGAGAAGAAAAGAGTGAAAATAGCAAAAGGCGGGGCCCGAAAAAGGACCAATGGGGGTGGGGGGAAGTCAAGCTAAATGTGGCAAAAACAGAGTCATGCAGCGCTTAGGAGAGGATGATGGAATGGCAAAATCCCATGCAAGCTTGCCGTTTCCAGACTCTCGCCATTTGGGGACTCTCCAACTTCTCTCTCTCTTATCTCTCTCTACCCCTTTTCCATACCCCTCTCTCTATATTTAGCAACATTTTTCCTCTCCTCGTTGTCCTCGTCTTTTCATATTCCCTATATAATAACACCGCCAACCCACCGTCTCCGCCCCTCCACCGCAACTCCTCCTTCACCGCCACCGCCCGGTCTGAACCCTTGTATCTGTACATAGATAAAGAAAGAAAGAAACATAGAGAGGGGGGAGGGCGTGATTTGGTATCTGTACATAGAATAGAGATTTGGAAGCTGTGGGTCTGTTTGTTTTCTTGATTTAGCATCCATAGAAAACATGGGCAGAGGAAAGATTGATATAAAGTTAATCGAGAATGTGAATAATAGGCAGGTGACTTTTTCGAAGAGACGGGCTGGTCTTCTCAAGAAGGCTCAGGAGCTTTCCATTCTCTGTGATGCAGAGGTTGCTGTTATCATCTTCTCCAGTACGGATAAGCTTTTTGAGTACTCCAGCACAAGGTAAATTTCTGGAGTGATGATTGTGGTTCTTGTGGCATTCTTGAGATTGATTTCTATTTGGACAAAAAGTTAATAATTTTGAAGGGATTTGTGATTAGCTTGCCTGAGTTTGAATATTAAGCCCGGTTGTTTGTCTTTGGTAGTAAAATTGAATCTTTTGCCTCTCAAATTCAAAAAGTTCTGTTTTTTTTTTTGTTTTTCCTGCTTTTCTTGACTCCCAGTTTTCCTGTAGTAATAATAAGCTTTTGGATCCAATTAGTTCTGTTTTTTATTTTTTATTTTGTCATAAAAATGCAGAGGTTGGAAGTAACTTGTGTAGTTATAAATTGATGCTTAGAGAATTTAGGTCACTGTTTCTTGTGTAGCTATAAAGATGAGCTTTTAGGTCATTGTTAGTACATTAGCCAATGTTAGTGAAGTATAGGGTGAATTTAGGTAAAGTTTATACTATGTCATTATCTTTTTTTTGGGTTTGCATTATCTCTTCCTTTTTACTGCATCGAGGTCAATTTATTTTATCCTACAAGGTTTTGGATATTGTGCATGGTCCATAATTTGGAGTCTTTATTTGATGTCTTTATAGTTTATAGTGCACCATGATCATAATGCAGAATATCTTTTTAAAAACTTACAATTGGCTGACTTTGGGAGCACAGGTTTTGCTTTTCTCGAAAACTCGAAAAGACATCTTAAGTCTTAACAATGGAACATGAAAAAATAAACAATCTTATCCTTAATTGCTGTTACCTACTTTACCTTTATACGTGACAGCTCATAATGTGAGTCATTAGTGATGTCAATTAGTGATGTCATTAGTGGTGTCATGAGTGACAAAATATAAATCTAGAAGCATTTTTTAATTCCTGCAATTTCACATCTCCCCTTGATTTTTTTGAACAAATCAATGATGTCCACTGTCATGAGTTATAAATATGTTTCTTTACCTAATGAAATATAAGCTAATAAATATACTCCGTATTGTTTTATTTATACGTAATGCTTGGCATCTCTATATGCAGCATGGCGCACACATTGTCAAGGTACAAGAAATGCGTGGCTTCTAAAGATACAACTGTTGCTGCAGAGAAGAAGCCAACGGTGAAAGATTATTTCTTATCAAAAGAGACTAATGTTATCAACGACCCATGCTTTCTTTTACACAGATGGGATCACTATAGTTTACTCAGTTGCATCCTAGTATATGCAAAAGATTTTAGGAAAAAGATGTTATGAACATTGAATAGGCAATTCTATGAACAAATTTGTTCATGTTGATGTTTTTTTTACACTTTACAGTTTATAGTGTCATGGGATCAGTGTATAATGTGGCAAACTGGCAAACTTTATATGTACCCGTAATAGTTTATAGTGCACCAGTTTGCCACATTATACATTGACTCTACGACATTATCTTTTTACGCTTGCATCATTGAATGAGGAATTATATGAACAAATTTAAGGGTATTATACTATTTTCGTATGGCGTGCAAACAATGTGACTATGTGAGTAAACCATGGTGTCCCTCTAGCGGAGGGACATAATGAATTTCTATTCAACTTGCAAGGGATTCTGCATTGACTTTATCAGCACTTCTATTGTTATCTTTTTATTTTCTAGGTAATAACTATAAAGTGTTTGATTTCTTTACTAAAACTCCATGGGATGTGTATATCTTTACCCTCTACTGTTTTACTTGTTAACTTTTCCTGGATGTAGAATAAGCTTGCCAAGCTAAGTGGTAATCCTTTTCTCCCCACTTTTTCAGACCACTATTTGAGTTTCTGATTCTAAAAATGAGCAGGTAGAGCGCAGGGAAGTGGTAGCTTTGAACAATGAAATCTCAGAGCTTAAATCAAAGCAGATGTATGTCTTCTTTTAGTCATCTAATTATGATGTCCTGATCTTTTTTAACTGAAAGCACTTCAATTAATTAGTATCAGTGAACTTGGATGTAATATTAGGCAGTTGTTGGGTAAGGATCTTACTGGTATGGGCTTGTACGAATTAAGGCAACTTGAGCATAAACTAGATGCAGCACTCTTAGCTATAAAGGGAAGAAAGGTATCGGATTATGTGTCTTCAATTGTGACATTACTTTTTTTCATTAAGCTATTCTATAAGGGTGTATGTTGGATCCTGGTCGATGCTAGGGAAAGAAAAATGGAAAGTCGTTTTCACGTTTTAGTTTGACCTTGGGAGAAATACAGTGAAAAACGATATACTTTTTTTTTTTAAATACTACACATATTTAGATTCCGTAGTGTTCATACACATAATTTTATGAAATCGAGTATCAACAAACATAAATAATACAGAGTATTATTTCGTTCTCATTTTCTTCTCTATTTTCCTTCCTAGTTTCTTTCCCTAGAATCTCCTGGTTCCAAAGGTAATACGTATTTAGAAACTTTTCTTCGTGGATTTTATAGGGACTAAATATGGTAATGGTACTTTGTTTGTTTCAGGAACAATTACTGCTGGAACAACTAGAACACTCGAGAAAACAGGTAAAACTGGTTAAGTAAATGATTTAGTGAATAGATTAGTACAATGGTTTATACTGATCACGTCTAACTGCTCATCATCTTCATCCTAACCTGAATTAGTTGACACAATAATTTAGCACATAGAAACACTGGCCAAGTTTTATGTTGGATGCCCTTCTCTTTGAAGAGATAGTGAGGTAAATTAAAGTTTCACACCGAGTTTAAAGGACTTCCTTGGTAGTGAGTTCTGGGTTAATCTGCATATGTTGCTCATTAACTGAATTTATACAATAAGCAGGTAGGTTTTGACCTACTTATTTGGTTGAAATGATTGTATTAATTAAAAAAATCGATTCAGAAAATTCATGTGATTAAACCATGTCAGCCAAATAACCCATCATTCTGATTGGTTCTATGCTGGGATGTATACTCTTGCATGACTTTTAAGAGTAGTACATTGGCCAAGTAACCGAATATTACTCTCTTTTTTATAGTTTCAACTATGTACTACACGATATAGACACATACAGTGGTTATATTAGTACAATGGTTTATACTAAACTGGATATACTATACTTTGGTACTTCCATATCAGGTTTATTAAATGCAGGCATGATATTGTGACCTTAAACTGTGATGAATGAGCTTAAACAGTCATTAATGATCTCAACCAGCAATTAATGCAATGATACCATCTTGACATCACTTATTTCCTATTCACGACTTTCTGATTGTGTTAATGTAATGTGTTCTATATTGCTATCCAGGAGGAGCTGGCTCAGCAGGAGAATGAGATTTTGCGCAGAGAGGCAAAACATTAGTATTTTTATTTTAATTATCTAATTTTGATGAGATAATTTGGTTTCTTGACAGACTTCCTATTTTCTTGCATGTATGATGAAACACACCTATAGATAGAAGAGTTAAGAGGATTACACCCATCAGTTCTGAGTGCAGCAACCCCCCCTACTTTTTATCTTGAATATCATCCTACTGCACAAAGAACTTGTTCATCTAGCAAAGATGGCGCTGAGAGTCAAACAGCATGTGATGGTGATTTGGTGGAAGAGGTTTCCGATACTACCTTACAGTTAGCGTAAGATTTTTTGCTTAAACACAATAAATTTCTTTTATGGGTCATCCGGAAACAGTCTCTCTGTGCTTTAGTATAGGGGTAAGACTGCGTACATCTGACCCCCCTTACCCCACCATAGGTGGGAGCCTTTGCGGCACTGGGGTAGTGATAATGATGACAATAAATTTCTTTTAGACACTTGTTCATACTCCTTTTATTTATTTATTAGTAATAGCTTTGCTAAGTATTTTCCAAGGACAATATGTTCCACCCCAAAAAAGTAAACATGACTAGAGGAGTAACTCGAGATCTTATATGTTGTTTTTTATTCTGGTCGGAAATTGGTTTGAAATGACCTAACAGGTCAAATACAAGAAAATAATTTCTTGGGATGTATTTTCTGTTCTGTTTCATTTTCGCGTACCCAAATCGATCCATATTCCAACTATTTAAACTCACATTGTAATAATAATCTAAATTTTGGAACAAATGATGAACTTATGATCATGTTGTTAGAAACCACATAGCACCCTATTCCCCTGAGGTTGTCCTATCTGAGTTTTGAAAATGATGAAAAAAACCTAAAAGCTGTGATTGATCAAATTTTCCATGAAGGATCAAATTTTCGATAGGAAATGTGCGTATTGAATTTGGTGCTTCTAAATCCACTTTTATTTTTTAAAACAGCTTCTTTGCCTAAGAGTTGAGGTCAAATACTACAAATAATATAATTTATATTCTCTATCATCTTATAGTTGTTGTGACTTGTGAGCATGAAATATATAGATCAAGGATTGTAGTTGTAAGATGGTCATTGAATGATATTAACTATGTAACCCTGTCTGTTATAGCCCATCAGACCTCAGTTCATTACTTCACTTATAGTGTATATTCAATATTTTGGCCATTATAGTAACTTTGTATTATTGGTTACGATTCCATTGCTTTGCAGACCTCCAGATGGTTCTGGTAGAAAGAGGAAGACGCCTGAACTGGAAACTCGTTCCTGCAATTCTGAGAACAATTTGCTCAAGTGACAATATGGCTAAATGTTGATGCTCTTTTTTAAATTATAAGAACATGGGGGTCGGGCAGACAACATTATTCAACGGTGGCGTAAACCGTTATAGATTAGCAGTCAAAGCCCACCAGTGTTCTAACATATATTAAAATGGACTAGACTGAGACTGCCTTTAGGGGCGATAGGACCCTGGCTGTCGTTGATATCTCTTTACCATAAGTATACTTTTTATTTATTTTGCTTTTTGAGTGACCCATGGGATTAGAGATATCTCATTAGATCCATTTGTGTTCTTGATAAAGATGTGCCTCTCTGTTTTCTGTTTTTCTTGCTTCCAACCACGGGCAGTCATGTGCTGGAGACAAATTCCCTTTCAAATCAGAATGTCGGAAGCAAGGTGCCGAAGATTGCATGCATCATGGGAGTATGCTAGTCGACACGGAATAGCAAGTAAAGATGCCTCGTCCATATATGGTTAACTTGTAGTATCATTGGCCTATTATTGAAGGGGTTGATTAATTGCAGTTTGGTATAATCGGTAAGGAACCATCATTTCCCAATTATTTGTGTTTCCTTATTTGAGTTTTTTCACTTCTATTGTTTAAGCTTCTAAATAACATAAAAAGTACACATGCACCCAATATATAGTTTATAGCTATTCACAAATGAAATCACAAGAATCTCTATTGTTTGGAGAATTTAAGTTCTAGAAGTACGTACCTTAGAGTTCATAGTTGGTTCAGAAGTACTTTAGGATACAAAAATTGTTTTTTTGGAGTCGAGAGATATTGAAATAAAATATCAACCATGGTGGATTGGCCGCAACTTACTTCACTCACGCAATTGTGGGAAAATTTCGATTTATCGGGTTTTTATAGGACATTGTACACCAATGTGCTCTATTGCAACACCATTATACAATGTTAAAAGATGGTCTCCTCTCGTCACTAGAGACAATGCCTTTTTGTTCATTGAAAGAAGCAATAGCACAAGTTCTGGTCTTATGGTTGTCATATTTCTCTCGACCTTTCATCTTGGAAATTGACGCTCCATCTCAGGGGCAAGGTGTGGTACACATGCTAGAGGAACACCCACTTGCTTTTTTAATACTAGTCATAAAATAAGCCCTTAGTTATAAGAAGCTTCCTCACATGTGTGTGAACGTTATGCTATTATAGACTAGAGTACTCCGTACCAATTTGTTGTAGAAAGAGAGGTTCAACAAACACGTGGCAGATGCTCCTTGATGATATGAGGAACTCGATTCTCAAGCTGAGGAACCATCTTCCCATTTCATGGCTTTGTGAGCTCCTCCCAACACTGTTGGATATAATCAAGTTCGAGAACTCCCAACAACCACATCTCATAGCCATGCATACACAAATTCAAACTCTTATATGCGTTCCATTCAACAACAATGTCTATAGTCATTGTTTGCTTCATTAAAGCGATTCATGATGTTCATTGCAATAGTGCTTAAATTACATGGCCCTCCATCCTCCATTATCACCAACCGTAATAAAATATTCTTGATCAATTTTTGGAAAGTACTATCCTACTTAAGTGGAACAATGCTTCACCATAGCAATTGTCACCCATAAATGGATTACTAAGTCGAAGTTATGAATTGAGTAGTAGAACAATACTTATGCAATCTTACACTTGCTTGGCCATAAAAAATGGAGGAATTACATATGTTAGGTTGGGTGTGGTTTCAACACTAGCTCACTTCATGAAAGTCCCAAGAAAACGCCACTTCGAGGCATATATCAGTGCTCCCATCCTATAACCTCAGCTTGCACACCCAAGTTTACAAAAGCACATATAGTGTATGAGTACATTAAAGATTGCCATCGCCTACCCAAAACACTGCATACAAACTTTTGAGAGACAATTAATTTTTGTGATTTGGTGCTATTAAATTGTAACCATATTGCCAACACCTTGTTCCACGTAGGGTTGCAGATCGAGCTGGTTCAGCCAGGTTGACTATACTTTTGGGCCTACCTAATTGATATAGGTTGGTTACTAAACACCTTACGTGTGTGCAATTTCAGTTGTTAAAGCACGAATGAATGTATCAAGTATGGGAAAAAAAGAAAAACTACTTCGAGTTGGACCTTTAATGTGGGCCACTGTTGTAGCCAATTTTAGGCTCGGCCAACATGTTAAAAACATGTTACACACAATTTGTTTTTATAAAACTATACTTTATTTGTGTAACAACATCAAGGCATCCTTGTGCATGTAAGCGGTCAGGGAGCATGGAAGAAGGATAATAATCATAATATTTTAAATTTTGAAGGATGAAAACGGAACGGAACGCCATTGAAGAGTCACAAAGTTACCTTTCCATCACTTGGGTTGGGTATTATCAGTTTTGAGGCTTTACTTCCACAACCCAACCCATCATGTGTGGATTTATAGATATTCAGCCCATGATTATTTTTGGGTAGGGTTGGGTCAGCTAAGTTGTACGGGTTAAAAAATTTATTGTGCAACCCTAGTTGCATCGTGGCAAAATTAGAAATTTTCTTGTCGCTATTATTATGGTCTATTTCCTTTTTTTGAGCATATTGTTCAGGTTGCATGCCACCTAAAACTTCCAAAAAAACGTGCATACACTTGAGATTCCATATTTCCCTTTTGAAATGTACAAAAGGGTCCAAGAAAAAGACAACCTCATCTTTGTTTGAGGAAGGACATCCAATTAATAACAGTGCCAAAAGTTATTCGTAGAGGCTAACAAATACTGCACAATGGAAAGCTTGAACACTAATTATTGATCGATAGGCTAGGAAATAATTACACAACTTGAGAACTGGTGAATGTGATCACGTCCTTGTATCCAAATTGTCACACCTGGAGGACGAGATGCATATGAATGCATGGTTGATGATACACACATATCTAACATGGAAGAATCGAAGATAGCGTGCAACACAAAGTTCGTCAGCTAACATGAAATAGGAAGAAAAATAAAGATGTCTCATTTATGTATGCCTAACCCATAGTATCAGGTGCCTGTTATTAAAGGATTAATTAAAGATCGGTATAATATGTAATGGAGGAATCAATTCCCCGTTATTATGTTTCTTATTTTAAGTTTTTTCCTTCTATTGTTAAAGCTTCCCAATAAAGTAAAAATCACACACCTATTTATATGATGTAGTAACTCACGTATCAAGTAAAAAGAATCCATTTTTGTCGGTTCTCTCTTTTGTTGGGCATTAGTATGCTCGAAGTACATTCCTTAGCTTAAGACTTGTTCTTGCTCAAAAAAGTACCCCGGATAGGGGAGGAGCTAGACTTCAGTCCAAGGGGGACCGTAATATAATACAAATATTAAAGTGTAACGGAAATTTTGCATTTTTTTGGTAGTATTGGGTCAGCCAGTGGCGTATCCAGGAATTGAAGTGAGAGGGGCAAATTCATACTACTTTCGTCCCATAAAATTTTTCTCACTCACTTTTTTGGGATATTCAAAAATTTCTTCTCATTTCCCTTTTTGAAAAGTTTTGTGTGACTTACATTCATTTATATTTTTCTTACTCAATCAAAATCATACATTTCAACTTTATTATCACTTTCTTAGAATCCGATCCACATCAAACCGGGAAAATTTTCTGAGCTAGATGGAGTATATATTATTTCATGTATGTCACAAGCACTCAGTGGCGGATTTGGAAATTAGGTTTTGGATGTTCAATACTTTTTTACAACTACAAACTTAAAGAGTAATAACTAATTATACCAAATTTACAGATATATACCTACATGTTTTTCAAAATATTCAGTGTTCATGTGAATACCTTTGAACATGAGTGGCTCCGCCACTGCAAGCACTTGACCACTTTAACAAAAATAATAAAAATTCATTATAAATAAAACTATCAGTCAGCAAAAAAAACATGAATTCATACTTAACAAATTTCACTATGCGAGAACTAAATTTGACACAATGTTTTTAATTCTTTGATGTTATGTTAATAAATAAATAATTTTAAATAAGCTAGTGACATGTGGTGTGTGAATTTAAAATTAATTTAAATTGTAAATGCAAAATTATATGTAAAAAAGAATTTATATTATGTGTAAAATGTATTGAAGTATATTTTAACTCTAAAATAATAAAGTTTAACTATTAAAATGTGTAAATATACATTAAGTCACTTTAAATTTGATTAAAAGTTTAAAAAAGAATACAAGGAAGATCATGAATAGGAATTTAAAATGGCAAACAACAAAAAGAGAGGGAGGTTTTGCACCCCTGACCTAATAAACGAGTTCAGACATATACACGCCCCTTTCCGCTACACCACATTCTTCTTTAGCTCATATCGCGCAATTATAGTATATGTTATGTATGTTCAGCATACAAATATATGTATAATTAATTTTTTAAATATCTTTATATAATATAAAGTAACAGTCGCTGCACCACAACTGGAGGGAAAATTCCCGCCCATTTTAGTGGCATATTTGTAATTTACATTTCATCTAAAATTGCATTTAACTCATCCGTCCCATATTATTGCATGTAATTAACGTAAATAGATGCTTTAATCGTGGTAGGATATTAATGCTAAGCAATTATTTTTAAACATGGTACCTCATATCTCTCTTTATTTGGCTGTTTATTATGGAATATTATAGATCAATTCACCTATGGAATGTATACGTGTACTTTTAAAGTTAAGTTTCAGGAATAAATCAAAACCGTTTAGGTTAGATTTTAGACTATGTTTTGGATATAAATCTATATTAACTTGCATTTTCAACAAATAAATGATTCTAATTCTAATTTGCAGTAATATTATTTAGTAGTAATAATAATTATTATTATTGATAAACTCAAAAAAGTAAAATATCTTTATCTTTATATAATATAAAGTAACAGTCGCTGCACCACAACTGGAGGGAAAATTCCTGCCCATTTTAGTGGCATATTTGTAATTTACATTTCATCTAAAATTGCATTTAACTCATCCGTCCCATATTATTGCATGTAATTAACGTAAATAGATGCTTTAATCATGGTAGGATATTAATGCTAAGCAATTATATTTAAACATGGTACCTCATATCTCTCTTTATTTGGCTGTTTATTATGGAATATTATAGATCAATTCACCTATGGAATGTATACGTGTACTTTTAAAGTTAAGTTTCAGGAATAAATCAAAACCGTTTAGGTTAGATTTTAGACTATGTTTTGGATATAAATCTATATTAACTTGCATTTTCAACAAATAAATGATTCTAATTCTAATTTGCAGTAATATTATTTAGTAGTAATAATAATTATTATTATTGATAAACTCAAAAAAGTAAAATATGAAATAAATTATTCTAATTCTAATTTGCAGTAATATTATTTAGTAATAATAATAATAATTATTGATAAACTCGAAAAAGTAAAATATGAAATGGTTTTATTATAAAACTCTGACATTGGCAAAATAATGGGTTTTTCTAATAAAAAATTTGTTGAGAAAAATGTGACTAAAGTTATTATGAGTATCAGAGTATTGCTTCAGGATCAGGATCACTTTGTATTAAATGTTACTACCTCAGTCCCATTTTATTTATTCTACTTTGGTTTGTCAACTTTTGGAGGAAAATTTCCGCCCAAAAACAATCAATGTGGCAAATTGATTTGTCATGAAATCCAGCCACAAAAGTTAAGAATTGATATACGTAAAGTTAAGTTTATTTTACAACGTAGCTTACAATGCATAATCATTTTCTAACGGGAATAGCCAAATTAAGCTTAAATTATGGTCGTTGTAATACCAAGTTACCATATTTATGTGCTATTATACCGGTGTAGTTGAAAATGTAAGATTGTTTGGACAAAAAAATACTTCCATAAAATGATGTTATAACCAGGCCACAACATCTAACTTTTTCATTAAAAACCCCACTAGCTATATATACAATAAAACAATAGACACCGGTGGGCGTAGCTCAATCAATAGGTAACGAGAGAGTGCCGCAAGAGTTATGTACTGGGAACAGAGTCAACATATAAGCCCTCTGCAAATACTGGGAACAGAGTCGCACTCTCTATCTGTCAGATTGTGATTATAGTTCAATTTACATCCTCCCATTATATTGTGCCTAACTATTGTATAATGTGTTATGTGTACACACATATATTTGAATAAATTATTAGGCTATATAATTAGAATATACTTTTATAGAATGTATATCATCTATATGTCATATAAGTGTACTTAGTAGCCATTAATACCCCATATAATATTTACCAATAATAATAAAATTAATAAAATGAATAAAAAGTAAATTATAAAATTGCTTTAATTATCTATTTTAAATGGCATGAATAATTATTGAGTGTTTCATACGACTAGAATATTAATGAAGCTAAAGTTATTATGAGTATAATTCAATGATATGATAAAAAAAAATAATAAAGTTAATGAATTTTATGAGTATAAAATTTACGGATAAAAAGATACTAAAGTTATTATGAGTATAGTTCAATGATTGGGACAATACAAAATTGAATATGAACATGTTCACAAATAGTTACTAGCATAGTACGGAGTATCTTTGTATCAGAGGTTGTATTTTCATCCATCATCCTTATATTAGTCATACATACATAATAAATCAATTGTTTTTTTTTTCAAGAAATAATAAAGGAAGTAAAATGGTTTTTGCGAGTTTGGTGCGAGTTTGAAGAAAGTAAAGGATAAAGTGGTTATTTAACAATGGGATAAGGCTCAAATTTGACACTATGGTTTCATCAAAATCTCATATTGGACACTAAGGTTTCAAATGTACCAAATTAGACACTATGGTTTCATATTTATCTCATATTGGACACTAAAGTTTCATA